CAAGTATAATGATATCTGACAGTGTTAAAATCACTATCATAAAAAACGCTTCGATGCAAATCATTAGATTGAGTTTAATTAAAATAAATTGGTGGATTATTCCAAAAGCTACATGATCTGATATTTCCTTATTAATATCCTGATTAAGATAAAGTTTTTCGAATGAAAGTGGGATATAAATATTATTTCTCATGAAAAAATTGTATTGATCCATACATTTTTCAAAAAGTTATAAAATTATAAAATTAAAAATGTAAAATACAAAATCGAGAATTTTCATACAAAAATAACATTTGGCAGTCATTTTTACTGTGAAGGCAAAATAAAGTCCGAAATTTTTTTCTCCCGTAATGAAGTTTTAAATAAAAAAAATTGAAAAAATGTCGAATATTAGCGGGGTACGAGAGAAATTTTTTTAAATTTTGAGAGTGATGTCTTCGACTGGATACGATTTGTGATCTTTTGACGTATTGTTCATAAAAATCAGTCCAGTGAGAGCTGAAATTGAGTGGTAACAGAAACAATAAAAAGAAGACATCATAGTAAAACCAATACCTTCTTAGTTTCGCATCAAAGCTAAAAAACTGATTTTGTCGTAATTTATATAAAATGTAATTATTTTTAAGAGAATAATGCTAAATAAGTAGTTCAAATAGGTAAACAATTATTAATAGTAATATTTTTTACTACTTTTTTCGATACAAAGCTAAGAGGGTAATAATTTTACTATGATGTGTATTTTTTTGTGTCTGTTACCTCAGCTCTCACTGGATTGATTTTTATGAACAATACGTCAAAAGATCACAAATTGTATGTAGTCAAAGAAATTACCCTCAAAAATTGAATAAATTAACTCGTTCCCTGTAAACAAGGTTTAATTCCACATAAAATTACAAATTTAAAAATCTCTAATTTTCGACATTTTTTAAAACTTTTGTTTTTCTACAACTTTTTAAAAATTAACGAAGCAAAAAATTAAAATTTGTATATAAACTTTTACCTGCTACATTGGGGGATTCAATGTAGCAACTTCTGCACAAAAATTTAACTTTTTCAACTTAAGTGTTAAAAATGTTCCGGTAATATTCCGAGCTTCAAACTTATGTTAAAATAAAGCATATGTTATGTACTAGAAGTTTAATTATAAACTTTTACAAAATTTAACTTTAAAGGATTAAAAAAATAGGTTAAGTCATTTACCTTACTTTTAACATTGTAATAATCAAAATCAATATTATATCGAAATCAGTTTCAATTTAAAACAATTTTATTTTGTTCTTAATTATTTTTTTTTATATGTCAATAATTATTTTTCAATAATAAGTAATAACTAGGCTCCACCTAGCTGGGGCCCTTCGAGCCTTACGTGGCTTCGGCGCGTAAGCCTCTTCAGGCCGTCATCATAAGTAGGCCACTGATTCCGGTAGAAGTACCCGGCTACGCCGGGCACAATAAGTGTTTTTCAGAAAAAATATTACTTCAAAATCAGTGAAAACTATAGAAAACTATATCTAAAAATGTTATTATTAAAATCAGGAAAATTCAAAAAGAGAATATAGTAAAATGTATTGGGTATAAGGTTGAAGCCTCTTAATGAGGTATTCCCTTTAGGCCTATTCAAAAATTATTTTAGGAGGAAATTTAATATTTTTTACTTTGTTAAACATGTTATAGAAATTTTTTTGCTAAAATTAAAGTAATGATGAAAAAAAAGGACATCAGGTCCTTATATATTAGAAGTTGCCTAAAAAAATATTGATAGCGCTTGTTCAAGGAGGGGCCAATCTCTCTTAAATACACCCCTGTTATACACAAAAATTATTAATAATCTAATTATAATAATTGTGTTTATATTATAGAATAATTAAAAAAAAATTTAGCAGGTTATTATAAGTGGCACACTGTAAATTTAAATTAAAATTAATATTAAAAATAAAAATAAAAATTTAATTTTGATAAATATATTAGTAACTGCGATTTAACGATGAACATCATAGTTATCATAGATGAACCCCAATTCAAAAGATAAACTCATAGTCTCATACATCATATATGAGAAAAAAGAAAATTATTAACTCTGTACTTAGTACTGTTCTTATAATGAAAGTACAAACTTAAATAATTATAACGTCATGAAATTTATATATAACATATAACATTCCTTGATAAAAATAGGGCAAATGCAAAATAGTGTCCTAATAATAATACACATAATACACCATTAAATAAGGTTCATAATACGTATCAGCAGAAATGAATCACTGCGCATAATACAACCATGCGCGTGGACTTAAAAAAAAAACATCTAGTAAAACGGTGAAAAATGAACGGATTGAATTAATTTTTTTATCATATCTCAGGAATGTCATTGGGCGGGTCTGATGAAAATTTCAAACCTTAAGTCGTAAAACGCTGGCGTCAGCGAGCGTTTTTCTCGAAAACGGTCGAAATTTTAAAACGCTCGCGGGCGAGCGGCAAAAATTTTCCGACCTTCGCCAATAATTTTCCCGGAATCTGGTGACCGAGTGCTTTCGTTGAAAAAAAAAATTTTGAAAATCCGAGCACACTAAGTAATTTTCCCAGAAAAGCGTTTTTTTCCTTGTTCTATTATATAATAAGATATAATAGGACGCGTACATGTGTATTATTAGCAAACAGAAAAATCGTCATTTTCCGTTAAAATTTGATGAATTTCAAACGCTCGTAGCGGCCAGAGTTTTTGTCGGATCTGGGATTTTCCGATTTTTGGCGCTTCCTCGGCACGTACAGAACGCCGTGGTATGATTGCGAATCGTAAAAAAAATCGTTTTCATGTCGTAAAGTGTCGCAAGAATTTCGGGCGGCGCGCCCTGGCGTCTCGAGCGCATGAAAAAAAAAAAGCTCGTAAAACGGTGAAAAATGAACGGATTGAATTGATTTTTTTATCACATCTCAGGAATGTCATTGGGCGGGTCTGATGAAAATTTCAAACCTCAAGTCGTAAAACGCTGGCGTCAGCGAGCGTTTTTCTCGAAAACGGTCGAAATTTTAAAACGCTCGCGGGCGAGCGGCAAAAATTTTCCGACCTTCGCCAATAATTTTCCCGGAGTCTGGTGACCGAGTACTTTCGTGGAAAAAAAAAATTTTGAAAATCCGAGCACGCTAAGTAATTTTCCCAGAAAAGCGTTTTTTTCCTTGTTCTATTATATAATAAGATATAATAGGACGCGTACATGTGTATTATTAGCAAACAGAAAAATCGTCATTTTCCGTTAAAATTTGATGAATTTCAAACGCTCGTAGCGGCCAAAGTTTTTGTCGGATCTGGGATTTTCCGATTTTTGGCGCTTCCTTGGCACGTACAGAACGCCGTGGTATGATTGCAAATCGTAAAAAAAATCGTTTTCATGTCGTAAAGTGTCGCAAGAATTTCGGGCGGCGCGCCCTGGCGTCTCGAGCGCATGAAAAAAAAAAAGCTCATAAAACGGTGAAAAATGAACGGATTGAATTGATTTTTTTATCATATCTCAGGAATATCATTGGGCGAGTCTGATGAAAATTTCAAACCTTAAGTCGTAAAACGCTGGCGTCAGCGAGGGTTTTTCTCTAAAACGGTCGAAATTTTAAAACGCTCGCGGGCGAGCGGCAAAAATTTTCCGACCTTCGCCAATAATTTTCCCGGAGTATGGTGACCGAGTGCTTTCGTTGAAAAAAAAAATTTTGAAAATCTGAGCACGCTAAGTAATTTTCCCAGAAAAGCGTTTTTTCCCTTGTTCTATTATATAATAAGATATTAAAACTTAGAAGTGATAGAAAAAGTCTAATTGTACATTTAAAAATATTGCGTAAAGTTAATCTAGAAAAGTATGTTTTGTTTCTGAGAAAGTTCCTTGTAGTCCAGTGTATAAAACGTATAATTTTTTATTTCAAAATATTGAATCAAGTCCTTTAAATTTTTATACGCGTTAAAAGTAAAGAAATATACAACTACTTTCATATTTTTATAATATCTCCGTAAAAATTACAATATTAAATTGTGAATATAAATTTAATACTAAATTTAATTAATATAATGATTATTTGTACATATATTATAATTATAAATCAAATAACTAATCGGGATAAAATAAAAAGAATAAGTTATTGTTTGCTTTTGAAATAATCTACCAATTTCTTAAAATTAAACACTATCTATTGATTTGCATCGAAGCATTTCTTATAATAGTGATTTTAATTACTGTCAGATTTAATCTCTACTTGTCCCAACTATGCCACGTCCATATTGTGCCGCGACCCCACTGTGCTACCGTTTTTTTTTTTTACTTAATAATATTATTAATTACTACAATTATTTTATTGTACCGAAATGATAAGAATGGAAAGTTTGGTAAACTTAATCGCAACAATTTAATTATTTTAATATTTTAATAACCTAAAATTTTCAAATTAATAACATTTATTTAGAATGAAAAGATACTACTCATGGATAACTTTAAATTTCATTGATATTTCTCAAATTTTTTTAATTTACTTAACATGAACCCGACAGAATTTTAGTTTTATTGCCTTTAATATAGACTTTTTCAATTTAAGTCAAAATATTATATTTAATGACTTGCTAAAAAAAAAAAATTAAATATTTACTAATAATAATAATAATAATAAATTTAAAATTTATAGACACTCTCCTACAAATAAAGGATTTTTATTATTAGATGATATAATATTAAATTAATAATATATATCATAGTATATATCGTAAAATCACATAACTCGATTATTCAAAATTCAAAAGCAAAAAAACAGTTTTTTATTAGTTAACAATAGAAGTAGAACTTTAAATACTCAAGTATTTTTAAAATTTATAAGATATTTAATTCTAAAAACGTTAAAATATTCGTCAGTATAAGTATAAAATTGCCAAAAGAATACAAATTCTTAAAATATTGAGGTACGCGATTTTACCATAAATTTAATTTTTATTTATTTGTTTTTTAACATATATTTTCGAAAAATATTACCTTGTTTAAGAAATTTCAATAATTGTTCTACTTCAGTTGGTGATTTCTTTCCTATTTCTAATATAACATAAATAATCATTAAAATATTTAGTAGTGATAATTTTTAATTACAATTTTTTAATTAAATGCTTAATTTGCATTGTGCATTATAAGATATTCGACGACATTATTCTGCTGGGTTTTTTTTAATGGAAAATAAAAATACAAAACTATATCTAAGTTTTAAACGTCTTTTAATACTTCTTGTATGCTTATAATTTATAATTATATGACCATTACCTTTCTTCATAAATTCTGATTTGTTTAACTCATTTTCTTTATCTAAATATAAAAAAGAATAATGTTAATAAAGCCAGACTATTTATAAACTATACTTTTTTTATTAAATTCCATAACCCCACTGTGCTGGGTTTTTTTTAATGTATAATTAAAAAACTGTAGCATAGTGGAATTGCGGCACAGTGAGACTAAGTATGGATGATATCTAATAGTAATTAAAATCACTATCACAAAAAATCCTTCTTTGTAAATTTGTAAATTTGTAGATAATATTTAATTTTTTAGGAGGAATTAATTTTATGATTTAAAATTTAAAATATATATTTTTTAATATAAAAATAGACCCTTATGATTTATAAGTCTTCTTTTTCCTCGCCTGAATCCCAACTACTTGGGGTCGTCCACTCTTATCCTAAACTTCCACTTGACATGATCTCCCAAATCCACTACGCTCACATCAGCTAACTTCATATCGCATTCAATAACATCTCTCAATCTCTTTTTTGGTCTTCCTCTACCTCTTATTTTCTTCAACATTAATTTCTATAACTGTTCTTACAGCTTTTGATTCTTCTCTCCTCATAACATGACCAAACTATCTAAGTCTATTTTCTCTCATCTTATCCACGATTGACATTACACCTATACTCACTCTTATATGCTCGTTCTTTATCGTATCTTCTATAGTCACTCCATTCATCAATTTAAGCATTCTCATCTCTGCACTACTTTCTTATCAACCGCCCAACACTCTGAACCATACATCATAGCTGGTCTCACTACAGTCTTGTAGAGTTTACGTTCATAAGACATCAGACGCTACTCTCCACTTCAACTACCCGCACTTAATTATGTGTCTTACATCCTCGTCAATACCACAACTCTTTTGCACAATTGATCCTAAATACTTAAAACTTTCCACGTCACCAATCACGTCCTCGCCTATTGTCACTGGTCTCCTTATTTCACCTATCTCGTGTTCTGCTTTATTAAAATCGTATTCTATATACTCTGTCTTACTTTTACTTATTCTTAAATCCTTTTCTTCAAGAGCTAATCTCCACACCTCTACCCTTTGATTAATTTCCTCCCTACTTTCTCCTATTAACACTATATCGTCAGCAAACAACATGCACCATGGCACCTCTCCGTGTATTTTTCTAGTAATTTCATCCATCACTATAGAAAAAAAGTAAGGGTTTAAAGCAGAACCTTGGTGCATTCCTACTCTTACCCAAAACCTTCTGTTACTCCTCCCACACTTTGTATCCAAGTACAAGTGCTATCATACATGTCCTCTATTATATTATAATATATAATATAATATTATATTTATATTTATTTTAAATTATTATATTATATTATATTATATTTATGTATCTTTTTGGGACTCCTTTTCTCATTAATGCCCACTTAAAAACCTCTCTTGGTACACTACCATACGCTTTCTTCAAATCTATAAATACCATACATAGCTTTTTCTTTTTTTCCCGAAACTTTTCTTTTAGTTGCCTCACACAAAATAATGGCTCCGTTGTTGACTTACCATGCATAAATCCAAACTGGTTTTTAGATACCTATGTCTCATTTCTTATTCTCTGATCTATTACCTTTTTCCAAATTTTCATACTATGACTAATTAGCTTTATGTCTCTATAATTTCCACACTCCTGTATGTCACCTTTACCTTTAAATATTAGCACCACAATACAATTCCTCCATTCATTTGGAATTTTCCCTTCTAATAAGATTTTATTTAAAAGTTCCTTCGATCGCCTTATGCCAACACCGTCTAATATTTTCCATACTTCTACTGCCACTTTATCTGATCCCACTAATTCATTCTTTTTCATTGATGCCACAGCCTCCGATATCTTTTTCTCACTAATTGAATCTACCAGTGCCTCATTCCACGAGATATCCTCTAACGTCTCTTTTGGATACTTCTCATTTAGAAATTTTTTAAAATACTCTTTCCACATTTTTTTCACATCATCATCACTTGAGAGTACCCTATTATTAGCACTTTTAATACACCTTATATATTGATAACCTTTAGTCCTTTTCTCTTTTACTTTTGCAAGTTTATAGATTTCTTTCTCGGCTTCCATTGATCCTAGACTATTATACAACTCATCATACCTCTTTAACTTCGCCTTAGGTACTGTACACTCGACTTCTTCGCCCAAGCGTTTATACTCTATCTAATCTTCTCTCCTTTTGCTCTTCTGTCATACTTTGAATTGCTTTTTCTTACTTTACACTTATGATTTATAAGTATAATACATTATAGTAAATAAATTTAGTATGAAATCAAAATTTAATAATCTAGCTGTTTTTACTAGGGGCGGGAAATAATATCGCGCTTACCTGGTGATTAATAGGAAAGGATTTTTATATTCAAATGTATGCAAAAAAAAGATTGTGGTTGCTTGCTCACATAAAATAATTTCTATTTTATATAATCAACAATAATGTAATATGTTGAAAATTTACAATGTCACCTTGAGTGCTATAATAACAACAGTTCACAAAAATACCAATAAATACTTTTCAATATAAATAAATGTGATTTTTAGTGAATACTCATAAATAAAAATACAAAGAACGTTCAATGTACATAATTAGTAGTAAATCTATAACTAATAGAAACAACAATTATTTGTGAGATTTCCGAGTTAACAATTGACCGTTGTCATCCGTGTGACTTAAATAAATTGATTAGTCCAGCCGCGTAGAGTATATGAGCATCAAACAAAAAATATGATTATTACCTAGGTAATCTGACACAATAACAAAATTGGTGAATAGAATCATCAACAATTCACAATAATTAAATAATATAAAATGACAACGCCACAAAGGTCATCCGTGTGACTTAAATCATTTCAAATAAAACTAATCACCAAAATATACTTCTAATATAATATAATATTATTTATGCTGAAGTGCGGCTAGCTATAAAAACAACTGTCTGTTACTCAAAAATTGAGAAAAAGTTATACTAACGTATACTAAAGAAAAACATACATATTTTTTAGTTATCGGCCGACAGTGATAACCGACCAATGCCGCCAAACAACCGTAAGAGGAAAGGGAAGGTAAGTGGACGGAAATAAGTAAGCGTTATCTACGTGTTCGTATGCGGCGCAAACACTAACATAATATTTTTTATGAAGAAATTATAAAAAATTATAGGTGGTTGTATACAAAGTGATTCTTTTAATATTAGCCACTCGATGTCTCTAAAATAATAAATATATTAATAAAATTTTTAATGGTATATTTTAATTTTATATATTTCTCAATTCAATAATTAATAAATTTTTTTTAATTCATCCCTTATATACTATTCAATATATTAATATTGTTATATCATCCGAAATATAAAAATCCAAACAGAGTGATTCTATTAATATTAACTTTTTCTTTTAATTTTTATACTTTTAATATTTATTAATAAATATTTTCTTTTAAGATAATAATTACATCGAGGAAATTATTTTTAATAATTTTTTTATTTTGTTAATTTTTTTTTACCTTATAAGTGATTTAAATTTATTTTTTTTAAGGCCACATACATATTCAAATAGCTAACAAAATAAAAAATTATTTAGCTATTTATATTAAAAATTATTATTTGATTTGTTCATTTTTCAAAATGAGATGGCAATTTTAAGCGAATATAACAACAAAAAAATTACATTTTTTGTTTAATTCTGCGACCATTTGCATATAAAAAATAATGATATTTAATAATTTTACCACCAACTACTATAATTGTCTATTGATATAAAGTAACCTTAAATTTATGTATATATAAACTTCAGATTTTTTCACATTAATATTACATGTATTATTCTATATTATTTGGAACTAAATTGCACACAAAATTTAAGGGAGTAATAATTTTTATTTGCTCTACTTAAATTAATTTCTTAGGTAAAATTATGTAGAATTTAAGTTACAAAATAATTAATTTAGGAGGAATATTATTATTTTATGTTTTTTAAAGCTCTATTTGACCTTCAGCCTACTTCAAGTTGGTTTTGAATACAATCCCTTTTTAAATTATTATTGTCCTAAAAATCTGTCATTACACTTTTATTCTAGATATCAAGTAATAAGGAAATTCTACGTTAAACCTATCGTTAGTAACAAAGATTGAATTGCAACTATTTGTTGCTAACTTACACTTAATTCTGTGTAGTTTTATATAAACATAAATAATTTTATAATTACTCATTGATAAACAAATATAGGCGAAAGTGGGTAAGTTTTTGAATAAAATGAAAAGAGAAATGATACATGATATTACATGAAAATGACTGCCAAATGCTATTTTTGTATGAAAATTTTCAATTTTGTATTTTACATTTTTAACTTTATTATGTTATAACCTTTTGAAAAATGTATGGATCAATATAATTTTTTCATGAGAAGTAGTACTTATATACATCTTTCATTCGATATACTGTTTTTTTTAAATCGAACCATTTCTCTATATATGAGGGGGGTTCAAATATAAAAAATTCATATAGAAAGTAGAACTTTATTTTATCTGCATGGTGAAAATGGCTACCAAATGCTATTTTTGTATGAAAATTCTCGATTTTATTTTTTACATTTTTAACTTAATTATACTATAACTTATTGAAAAGTATATGGATCAACACAATTTTTTTATGAGAAATATCCCTTTTTCATTCGACATACTTTATCTTAATCAGGATATTAATAAGGAACTATCAGATCATGTAGCTTTTGGAATAATCCACCAATTTTTAAAATTAAACACTATCTAAAGATTTGCATCGAAGCTTTTTTTTTTTGATAGTGAATTTAATCATTACACTTGATCCAACTATGCCACGTCACCACTGTGCCGCGACAGCCCTGTGCTGGGTTTTTTACTTTAAAATGCTATAACTTTTTTAAAAGAGTATGGATCAACATAATTTTTTTATGAGAAATAATATTTATATCCTTTTTCATTCGACATATTTTATCTTAATCAGGATATTAATAAGGAAATAGCAGATCATGAAGCTTATGGGATAATGTTACATCTATGCCACGTCAGCATTGTGTCACGTCAGTATTGGGCCACGTCACTACTGTGCCACAATCCCACTGGAATGGGTTTTTTTCTTAAAATTACCATATATTTTTTGAAATTAACAAATCAAAATAATTTTCTTTTATATTGAAACCTTTTTTTTACAGGGGGGTCCCTGTTATTTAAATTACTTATTAGGCCAATTAAAAATTGTATAATACACTAAACATTTCTAGTTGGTAGGGCTTCTGCATTATTGGAGAATGATCGTACAGTACATTTTTAAGCATTATCTAAATGGTATTACAGGTATGAAATATTCTTCTTTAAAAAAATCTTGCACCACGCCTGGAGCAAGATGACGAATTTAACTTGATTTTGAATAATTGATATTCTTAAAATAATCAATATTAATATGGTTTTTACCAATGAGTTTCAATATATTAAGTAGTATTTCTACAAAATTTCAAGGTATATTTAGGATATAACTTAATATTTCAAAATAAGTTAATATGTTTAAAAATTAAATGTTTCTGTTGAAAACTTACCATAGAGATCTTTTCCTGGCGTTGGTAAATGAACCATCTTAATATTTGTGTTGAAATAGAAGCCTAAATTAAAATACTTTTGTATAAGAATCTTCCGAAATTCAATATCAAATTTTTTATTCAAATCTTTAAAATAATAAAAATCAATTTCTACATTATCCACTGTCTTCAAATCTTGACTCATTGGATGTAAATTGACAGTGATAAACTTGCATTCTCTTTTACGTTTGCCTTGAATTTCTTCGTCCATATCTTCTATCTTTGATTTAAAAACATTTTTAATATTTAATAAGATTATTTCACAATCCCTTGTATTATCCTGCGACGGAGGTTTATTAGCAACAGTTTTTTCAACTTCTTGTAAACGCGACAAAAAATCATATAATATATAATCTTCTATTGTTTGGTTTGGTGGCATAGTATATACCGCATCTAATGAAATCAATGATTCTTTTATGATTGTTGCCAATATAGTTATTTTTTTAATAACAGTCAATAAATTTATGGTACATAGATAGGGATTACATTTTTTTTCTAGAATTATTTGACATATGTTTTGGTAATCATTGACCATATAGAATATTTGTCTTAAATCTTGAGCGTATAGACAGCTAAGTAATAATGTAGCACTACGTACTTTATCATTGCTTGTTGATGTATCGGCAATGTAATTAATACTCTTTGAGTAATAAGTTTTTTGACCATATCGCACTTCCTGTAAATTAGATAAATATTTCCAAAAATTGTTTTTACAAAAATGATTAATGATTGCTGTATTTTTTAGCGAATTAGGATATGCTTCAATAAACGAAATTGCGTAAAGTAAAGAAATGCAAATTTTGTATAACTTGATTGAAAACATTTTTAAGAATAGTAATCAAAAAAATAAAAAATATATAAATTTCTTACTAAAAAATAACTAAAACTTTTCGTATAAGCTAAAATTGTGAAGAAATATACACTGCGTAATTATAATATTTTAACTGTTACAAAAAAAGATGCTGTTAAATAAAGTTCAAAGCTTAAAATATGCCTCGATATTGTACTAATACATTTTTATTTATTTAGGTGTTATATTAAATATAAAAAATTTTACTTTTTTAAGACATATAGGTCTTTATTTTAAATAAAGAAAGTTTAATCAAACAAAATGCTTAAAATATTTATAATCAACATTTCAAGTAACTTTGACAGATACTCTATTTTATTTATATAATTATCTGAGAATCTGAGAGAATGAAGATGTTATTGAAGTATTTTTTTAATTAAATCCCCACATTTTCTTAAAATTGAACTGATTTCCCTCAAAATAATCTCAACAGATCCCAATTTCCATCTAATCGACAAATAATTTTTTATATTTCCTACCTCTCTGCCCTAAATTAAAAATTATATTAATTTATAAAGTAATATTATAAAACTGCTTATCAATCTGTCAAAATTTGACCATTCATTAATTAAGAGTAAAAATAGTAATTATTTATTCTTTTTTAACTTAATCAATTTGATAAAAACTCTTTCATTTGAAGTAAATTTTTTGAAAATTTGATCCTTTACTTTTTTTACTTTGTGTAAAAGTGTACTTTGTTAATTCAGTATATATATTAAAAGGAAGGTATGTGCCTTTTTGAAGACAAATGTGTCTACATAAAAAATCTATTGATAAATTAGGGGAACCAAATACGAAATGATTCTTTTAAATCGTTTTTTATATTATTTTATCCATATTTTAAACAGTATAGTACTATAGAAGAGTGGAAGTATGGACCCCATATAACCCCATTTTACCAAAAAAAATATAAAAATGATTTAATTGTGAGTGTTAAATATTTTGTACTTTTTAATATCAATCCAATAAATATATTAAAAGGAAGGAGGCTTTCCTTTTCAAAAAAAATGTTCTAGTTATCAATGGCTTATAATAAATTAAGATAACTAAATACAGGTTTTTTCTTTTCGCTTTTATTCACATGACTTCTCTTAAAATAATAATTATTTGAATAGTTATATCCTTTATGGTATTTTTTTGTACCTTATTAGGGTGGCACCATTATTTTTTAAATAGTAACATACATATTTAACTAGATTATCAAATTAAAAAATTAATGGTTGATGACAATTTTTGACACAATATTTCGGAAGTTATAACGATTTAACTAGAGTGTAGTTGGGTTATGTTATTCTTATCATTACGCAATAATCTACTGTTTTTTCTCCATTCTATGTATAACTATTTTGGATCAGTCATTTTTTTAATTAAATAATTTTTATTTTGTTTTTATTTACTAGTTTTTTTTTTTAATATATCTTATCAGTTAGTGGTGTGTGTATTAGGTGTAAAGTTTTTCTTGATAGTTGTGTATGTGATAATTTCTACCAGTCAACCGATCCAATATGAGGCGTATAATTTCAAAACCAGCTATAAGTGAATTTTTTTCAAACGATTTTTTTTGTGTTTTCTAAATGGTCACACTGTACTAAATGTCCTGTAAAAATATTGCACTTAAAAACATGCTATAACTGATTTAAATTAATCATGGAAAAATATGGTTGGTTTCAAAATCACCCATCTAACAAGATCAATTTCAAAACAATCAATTATATTTTTTTTTCGCGGTAAAATGATATTATATTTTATGCTACGATACTGGTACGAATACTGATTAATATTTGTATGCATTTTAATTTAAAAGTTAAGTTTTATTATATATTATATTAAAAAATATAATATTTAGTTTTTATTTCAATTTTTGTTTTAAAACTACCTATATCACATAATCAATATCAAAACCAGCCATCTGATGAAATTGGTAACAAAAGCAGTTATACAAATATTATAAAACTAAATAATTCTTGTAAAAATATTTTGTTAAAGTAAATATTCACACATAATGTATTTATAGTCCCAAGCTTTAATATCATATATATTGTAAAATCTTTGAGTTAAATATTGTGTACATATCCCCTTTTTTGAGTTTATAAATACACTAACTGACAATACAGAAAGTATATCTATTGATAGTCATAATTGATAATAAACAATCCGGGACTGTGACAGCAATGTCATAAAAATCCAATTAGCTATCTGTATTTTTAATCTCTTGTGTATTATACATATATATTAATTCAAAATTTGAAACTTTAAATGTTTATATCTAATAAACTAATAAATTTTTACTAAAAATTCAAATGCTATTTACTATTGAATTAAAAATCCAAATATTTTATAAAAAAATGTGTGTTCCATTAAAAAAAAACAAAGTTGACACCTTTACAAGGCATAAGGAATGAACATAAAAAGTTTTAAATAGTTAATAATTCAAGAATAATGTGTAACTAAAGAAAAAAAAATGTTTCAATTATATATATTCTGCAAGTAATTAAGTGGGTTGTGATAAAAAAATCACCCTGTATGTATATAAAATTTAATTAATTAAAAAAAAAATGGTATAATATGTAATGTGGTTTTAACCGATTTTATTAATCTAAAAAAGAATATTACAAACATGTTTAAATATAAATAAAAAACAAAT